AAGGTGAGGGAGATAGCATTTGTTATAAAGAGAGTCGTGGTGGTTATGGAGAGTTGGAGAAATAGCGAGCAATTAAACTTCTCAAAGTTTAACAGATATTCGTATGTATGATGATGGGAGTAGGATGAGAATATTATGATGTGTTTATAGTAAAAGAGAGGAGTAAAAAGAAAGGATGATGAAAAAGGATCATCGATCATAATAAAAGCAAAGATTGAGAGCACTTGAAGAAAAACAAAATAAATATTTCTTGGTTGTTTGTGCTGTTTCAATAGGGTTGGTGAATTGGGATGAGGAGAGATATTTTGATAATCGAATTATTTTGTTTGTTATCAGTGAGTGTTACCGGTTACCTTATCATTGCTTAGTATGATAATTGTAAGCAAGTTATGAGTAATCATTGTTAGTTACTTTGTAAGTTGTATTCATTATTACTTCATTAATCGGCATCAGTAATCATTTGCAAATTAATGGATCGTTTTATTGTTTGTTAGTTATAGCATTAGCAAGTTATCAGTGATAATTATGCAATCATTTTATCAAATACTTTTACTGTATAATTTAGTAAACTGTGATAAGTTGTTATTAGTCATTTTATTATCATTTCATATGGCATTTCTTATTAACATTCAGTGCATCATGTAATTGCACAGTATTGTTTGCTTCATCATTTCATTTTATTTTTTGTTTGTTATTATTTGATAGAAATAAATCAGACTTCAAAAATATTGTGGTTAAGAGTTCAGATCTCTCTTACACCTGAAGATGGCATAGAGGTATGGATGATGTTTTTGAGGAATGAGATAGGAACTAACAAAGACAGGCTAAATTATTACCGCTGATTACCGTTTATATGATTTTATATGATCCAATAGATAATTCTAGAGAATGGAACCCTCAGTTCGGTTCTCAAGGATTCAGAAATTAACGGATTTATTTCCTGACAAAAAATATTGAAATCCAAATTGGATAAGCAGGGTATTCCTAGATAACGTCTTGCTTACGGAACATTAGACTGAAATCATCAGCAAAAATCCCGATTGTAATACTGTTCTTATCACATTATTATCAAGAATATGCTGTTATCATTCTTTCTTATCATTATTACTGCGACAAGCCAATATGTTCGCATGGTTTGCTTGACGTTTCGGAACCATAATTCGAGATCGACGTTTAGAGATCAACCGAACATTATCTCGTATTGATCTCTATACGTCGTCATCGGTTGCAGTATTGTTATAAAGATTCTTAAAGTGCTAGCATTTACTGTATTATCACTAACTTTTTGGTCCAGATTATATTTCATTGATCTAGCAAGTATTTCGGATTAACTATTTTAAATTACGCTTCATACCGAAAATGCAGAAATTAAAATGTAGTTTTTATTCGAATATAAACATTATGTTGATTTTCTATTCAGAAAAAGCTTGCAATATTAAAGTTAAGTAGAATCAATTTAATAAAATATATTTAAAATATAATTATAACATTTGATGCGATACTTTTTGCTGTAAACAGCAGCTATCATGTTGCATAAGAGAATGATTGACGTGCCTGCCGTTCGATTCACTTTAGTAAAATCTTTTTTTCTTCACTGATTTTTTTTTCTATTTTTTTTTTTATCAGAAATGATGGAGAAGATAGGATGAAAAGAACGTGAAATAATTTCCTTCCCTCAATCAATTCTTCGTCGTTCATCAACAGCAGATTATCCCTGATTTTATTTCAAATTTTAGAATCTATTTTAAATTACCGTCCCACTTTATGTATTGAATATATAATACATTAGGGCTATGACACATTCTCATTTATTATACCCACATTCGAATTTCATTGTTGCTTATTTTCCGCATGCTTCATTAAACACACATTCACTTTTATTGGCTTATCATTTTTAAATCTCCATTCCAATCATTTTCATTCCAATTTTCATTTTAAAATTAGATCTAATTTTCTTCACCTGAAATTTCATTTTTGCTAGATACTCTGTAGGAAAAGCATTGGAATCTGTTTTTCTCTGAATCTTTCCATTTCGGATTCTCGTTGATTCTCCATGCTAGATGATTCTAATCTTCCAATATATATCTTTTAGCATATGTCTGTTACTCATGAATTTTAACTTCTTCGAATTCATAATTTTCATGGAGTACATTCTTGTCACTTTTTAAATCCATCTTAGTTACCTAAACATTAAGGAAAGATTAGCAGAAGTGGAGAGGAATCAAAATGGAGCAGTTGAATGGATAAGGAATATATGTATATATGGGTTATGACTTCACTTATTTTGAAAGTGAAAGAATGAGTGGCGAGACCTTAAGATCTTTTCGATTCAATTCGAATTTGGGATATGAATCTTCAAAAGCCAAAATTCATATGTACAATGGTTTTGGTTACACAATGATCAAACTTTTTTATTTTTTATTTTTGTGTATCTTGGTTCTGATTTTCGATCAGCGACTGGTTTTCTCTATTTATCGTTTCGTATCAAAATTTTTTCTCTTCTGGCTATATTTCGATATCGAGTAGCAACACGACGGTTTTTTTTTCTTTTTTTGACAAATTTTATTAATATTTTTTTATTTTAGGCTGCGGATTGTTCCAGGATTTTTGCAGGAAATTGTTGGTACAAATTCATAATATGTTAATTAAATCTAGCGAAAATGAATGTAAGCGCAGTGTGCTTCCTTATAATTACATCTATTCCCATATAATTATTTTCGATTCTTTCTTCTCACTAAGATATCGATTGGATAGGATATGATACCAGTACCTTAGTGAACAACTTTTTCAGTAAATTTGTAACGGGAGTTCTTTATTTTAACTGAAAAAAAAAATCTTCGAATGCTCAGAGTAATGCCTCCAAAACTGGAATAGTTTATTTCAGAGTGGGAATGCTCATGTTCATGAACAAATAAAGAAATGCTTTTGAGAAAGGAAAATTGTTAGTAAACTGAATTGATGTAGAACTAATAATCTCCTTTTTGTGGTTATAGGCTGAATTGCTGAAAGCTGTGCTGTTAAATGATCTGAGGTTATTACAAGGGTGCATAGAGAAAGGTATTGATGTCAATGAAGCGGATGGGAACGGAACTTCGCCGTTACATTTAGCAAGCTTTTATGGATATCATGCAATTGTGAATGCACTCATTGATGCACGTGCAAGAGTCGATGCACGTGATCGAGAGTGGTGTACACCGCTTCAGAGGTTTGATTGATGTTCCGTTTCAAATTCATTCTCGCCAAATTCTGTAAATAATAGAGTTTTCGTACTATCGTATAGGATGAGTAGTTTGACACATTTCAGTTCACTATCACACATGTACTTACTGCAAAATTTGTAGAATGACATTTCAAAAATCTTGCTCAGAAAATTTGGAAGTCTTTTCTATTCAAATGGTTAAGACGATATTGGCAATAAGCTGAGCATGTAAAAGTTCGGCTGAGTGGGATATTGCTTCTTCTGAATGGTGTAATATATCAAAATCACCTTTAGCAAATATAATTTTACAAAATACAATTGCATTATAACCAAAATTTTGTCCTAGGTTCTTAGACTCTTCCATCAAATGCTCCTAAAAATTTTCAGGGCTTGTCTTCATAATCATCCAAATACAGTGAAAATCTTGATTAGCCATGGTGCAAGGCCAAATAGTGCAACGAAACAGTTCATGACATCGTTGCATATATGTGCGCAAGTTAATGCATTGACTTGTGCCGAAGTGATCCTTGATAATTGTGATTCGATTATTGGTAAGTAGTAATAGTAATAAACGTTTAAGATGCGAATCTCTTAGTTCTGAAACAGCGCTATGTGATTGTCACTGAATAATCAAAAAATTACTAGATTTAACTAGTAAACTGATGCTTATTTCCAGTTAATTAATTGAACTTATAAAAACAAGCTCTGATAAGTAGATTAGAACGATGTTTACTGTACACATAACAATTCTTTGATAGTCGCTACTTCCAGAAACTGTAAAACTGTTTAATATTTTGTACTGTTTTGAATTAGCACGTTGAAAACGATTATGCATTCATTAGTTCTTCTCACCAGAAAAAGTCATTTTGGTATTACTTTTCCACAAATGTAGTTAAGGTTTTCTTTTCCTTTTTTCAATGAAAGCATTTCAGATCGTCCAGATTGGGGTGGTTGTCCACCACTTCACTATGCAGCATTCTATGGAAATTCAGCCTTTGTCGAGTTTTTATTGAAAAGAAATGCTAGTCCAAATACTAAGTGAGTATTCTTTTGCAGAATTTCGACTCATTCTGGTATATGCGATCCAGGAATTAATAATATACGGACTGATACTGGTAACTAAGTGGTGGGGAAGAAAAGAGTAGGTAGCAAAGAAATGTTATTCGATTCGATTTGTTATTCGATTTTAAGTTTTACCGTAATGTTTTGATCCTTCAGAAGTAGACTTGAGAATATATCTGTGTATAATACGATTGTATGTATACATGTAGTGAAAGTAGCCCCGGTATTGTATATTGTAATACTTCCGTATCACTTCATTTCATCCAAATTACTTGAATGGTAAAAAATTGTTGAAAATAATAAACAACGGAAAGTGATTGCATTGTTTATTTGGAGATGGCTTTTTTCTTTTCAGAAATAAACGAGGTATGACTGCAGCGCATTGGACTGCACTAAATGGGCATAGCGATGTGCTAAAGCTGCTTTTTAATGGTGGAATTGATATGAAATTGCGAGATCAACAGATGAGGACGGTCCTGCATTATGCGGCAATGTCTGGTGATATGGATTCTGTGAAGTTTATCCTAGAAAACACATCAATACCCATTAATAGCCAATGTTCCTCTGGTTACACTCCGTTACATTATGCTGTATTAAATGGACGTAGTCGAGTTGCTGAAATGTGAGCTTGCTCTTTTTGCTAATATTGGGATTTTTTTTAATTTATAATTTTTTTACTGATTATCTAACATACGGGTTCGTGAAAAAGAATGGTTTGACGGTTTGGTTGATATTGCGATTTGAATACTCTTCAATGAAGCCGACATTTGATATCAACGTTGGACAATCTGTCTTAATAACTCTGTCAGGATTCAAATATGGATCAAGTATGTACTAACAGTTTTCGATTTAATAACATAGATATAACATTGGTGCAATCAGATTATAATTTTAACTCTTTGGTACGGCGAATTTTGTAAAGTAATCTCAAACCATTTGCTCATTGAAATATTTTTAGGTTAGTCAGTAATGGGGCTAACCCATTCATTGCAAGTTATTCCGATGGATTTATACCTCTTCATATTGCTGCGGGTTTTACCGAAGGCACCCTAAGTTGTGATGTAAGTTTTTTTCATCTGAATATTACAAATCATCCCTATCCCAGGAAAAAAAAATTAATTTGTGTTTTGATGGTTATTCTTTTAATCCAATAACATCAATACTATTTGATAAAGAATAATGTATTTTGAAGTGTTGAACTCTATTTAAATTTATTATGGTTATTTGCTATGTTTCATTTCATGGTAAACAGTGACTAAATATTTCAGATATTTTGTTGTTTGGACTAGTAGAGGCGAATAAGTCCCAGCCGAAGAATTGTTTTTAAAAAAAGGGTAGAATTCATGAAATATGTAGGAAAAAATCAAGTTGTGGGCATTGTGGATGTGTGTTCCACAAATAATCACACTAGTATAATGTATAATTATGAATACAGTGTTATTTGTTCCTATCAAACTTAAAGAAATTTGTAATTTCAGTTACTGATTGAAGTAACCCATGAAATTGGTTACCAAACAGCTGATGGTAGTACAGCTTTACATTTCGCTTGCCAGTATGGCCGAATATCAAGATCAAAATCACTGATAGCCAAAGGTGCGCCGATAAATGCAGCGACAAATCAAGGTGTTACTGCACTTCATATGGCCTCCAGACATGGCCATGATCTTATTGTCAAGCATCTTTTGGGTGCAGGAGCGGATTGCAGCTTGTATCTTATTTTTTCTGATCATTTCATTCCTTATAATTATTTGATTGCTCGAGGATACTAGATTAACCAATGTGACAGTTACAAGATTACTTAAACTTTTCTAGAAATTCTTAATTGATTTCTTATTGACTCGAAATGTGTTCTATTTAAGTTTACCGCCTGATTTTCTATAAATTTTCAGAAAAACTAAATCTGGTCTAACTGCATTACATCTTGCTGCATTTCATGGTTACGTAGTCGTTGCACGAACGCTCCACAATAGTGGAGCCAACATTGGAGAGGTGGATCGTATTGGACGAACAGCTTTGCATATGGCTACACAGTCTGCAAGCTCTAATAGGTTAGTTTTCTGCACGCTTAAAATCTTGGAGTTTTAGCAATTCATAAGAAGGAGATCTTTTTTTTTGAATCGTCACCACCCGCACTAGCCGCTCCTGACTAACTTCGCTTAAACGAAATGTGTGACAGTTTGTTTCGTGAATTACACTGAGGACTCTTTATATGTGCGCAGTGTTCAACAAGCAGATGTGATGCCGCGGGAGAACCTAATGAACGATTTGGTGAACCGCACCTTGATCTTCTTCATCGGGGATTTTATCAACTTTCTTTCATTAGTTTTTCAGCGAATTTATGGTTGATTATTTGCTCTCAATCAGTATTCCGGTATCAAGAGTGGATTGCAAAGGTCGCTCTGCGTTACATTATGCTGCTCGAAGCGGTTTCTTCCACGCTATTCAGAAATTGCTGGCTTCAGGTGCTCGTACAAATGAACAAGATCATTTAGGATACACTCCGTTACATTATGCTGTGCAATCGCCTTCGGATCTCGCATTAGTTGTTTGTTTTTTACTTCAAACCTTCGAGCAGTTTTTTTTTTTTCGAAAATATAAGCAGGAAGCATAACGTGACTGTTCTACAGCAAAAAAAAAAACGTGGCATAATGTGACTTGTTCTGCAGCAAAAAAACATTACAACATCATACTTAAGTGAATTTATAATTTCAATTCTGATTGAAATAACTCACGAAATTGGTTACCAAACAGCTGGTGGTAGTACAGCTTTTCATTTCGCTTGTCAGTACGTACGATCTTGGAAATCCTAATGTTAACGGGAATTTTTCCAATATGTTTCTTTCAATTTGTTTTGAGTTAGCTAATTTGAAGTGTGGATTTTCAGAGTACCAAAATATTATTACGTGCTGATGGTAAAGTTGTACAAGTCAGAGACAAATCAGGTTTTCTTCCCGTTCATCATGCGGTTAAAGCTGGCAATTTAGAAACAGTCTTACTTGTAAGTTTCAAGTACCTGCTGTTCGTTGTTAAGATCCCTCCGTTCTAGAAGAGTTCTCTTTTTTCTACTTTTAAACTCTCTTAAGATTCTATCTGAGTGTTTTGTCATGATGATAAAATGGCAGCAGCTTGGAAATTTAGAAGTACGATAGGAAACTATATCATACTGTCGAATATATCTGCCGTATGCCGATATCTAGAAGCATCGAAAGGCAAAGCTTTTGCTTGTTGACTGGTTCACTACTCATTAATCTAATTAATGATACGATTATGGATATTAGGAGCTATTCATTTAAAATTTGAAATTGGAGAATTTCTAAAAAGAAATTCATTTAAATCCAACAAATTTTTAGTTATTAGATGCAATGTCTGATGTCACCGTTCCTTCATCCGGTTATCCTTATCATCTTACACTGTACCATATAGCAGCTCGTTATAATCATGCCCAGCTATTACAAAAGCTATTAGCTTTCTATCATGCACGTTCAATGACGCTTGATAAGGAACAGACAACGAAAATTGGAAATACTATAGGTCTTGAAATGGATTCATGTGAACGAATTCCCATTCATTATGCTATGTCAGGCGGTACGTATTTCCACTTTTATCCTGTATTGACCTCGTAAATTATGTATGCAAAGATAAGTCAAGATCTGCGGACATTTTTCCACATCATCCTTGCTATTCTTTCAACTATATTTTTCAAAAGCGAGTTTAATGATGCAGTTTTTTTCCAAGTAATCGCTAAATAACTGTTTTTTAGATTAATGTTTGTCGGCCAGAAATTCAGATTGAGGGTAGCATATCTACCACTAATTAAGTAGCATGCTTTCAATAAAGTTTAATGAACCTAGAAAAAAGTTCAGAAAGTAAGGCTAAAGCTCTTCTCTTTTCTCCTGCAGCAAAAAATTCAAATTCCATCTCACTTTAGCTAACTTAGTCAATTACATTACTGTATAACTACTGAAATATTAGACTTTAGAAGAACATAATTTAATAAATTTCTGCAAACTTATATTTCGCGTTTTTGGATGATTTTATGAATCGCATTGGGAAATATAAAATTACTTTCCAGGATATGAAAATTTTGCGTAATGATTGAGAAACTCAAAGTTGCAGGCTATCAGCGATGTGTAGATATCCTTTTGCGAACATCAATTAGGAAACGTGCTTTACTGCGGAAGGACTGCTTTGGTATGACACCGTTGCATGCCGCAGCTGCATGTGGAAGGACCGTTTGCATTTCTCTTGCTGTAGAATTGCTCAAAGAAAAAGATTTCAACGTTTTAGATTCTTTACTAAGGTTTGAAATTTTTTGAGCAATTAATGTTGTTTAAAAGGACTTAAAATGTTTCTATTTTAGTGTCTTATACTTATGCCTCTTCCTAACACTTTCTTTTTGCGATTTTTCCCGCCACCAGTAATTTATAAATAATGGATAAGCTGGAAGAATTGGATGCTCTGTTTATTTCGAGCCTTTTTTGCTAACTGTACGATCTGAACTGAATATTAATTACCTATAAAAAAAAAAATTACCTTGTGTACAAAATTGTATTTTATTTCTTTTGTTTTAGGACTCCTATCATGCTTGCTATTTCAAATGGTTTTTTGGATTGTTTCCTTGCATTATTACCAAAAAGTGATGTAAAATTATTCGACAAAAATGGTCGTGGTTTAATGCATCGGGCTTGTAGTCTGCGGAACGAAGTTTTATGCAAGGAATTGGTGAATAAGGGTGCTGATTTCAAATCGATCGATTGCAATGGTGTTACGCCATTTCATATTGCAGCAAGATCGGGTTAATTTTTTCCATTTTGAATGCTGTAAATTAAAATGAATTTTATTTTGCAAATGATAAGTTATACTGAATGCATATCGACATGTCTGCCTCTGTCATAGACACTATTTTTTTTTATATTGTATATACTATCACCGTCTGCACCACGAATGGTGTAAAGTAAAATATGAGTTGCCGGACTGTATGCGTTTATTTCGTGTGATAATATGGAAAATCCTTTGCAAAAATTTCACTGTGAAAAAATGTTGCATTTAAAAAGTCGCAGAGAGTGCTCTTTTTATTTTCATGCTTTTGGGCAGATTTTACAGGTGATTCAGCAACTGTCAATTATTTGCTAGCCAATGGTGTGCAGGAAACAGTAGATCGTGCTGGATTAACTGCTTTTGATTGGGCAGCTGTCGAGGGTAACGAAAGTGTTTTGCATATTCTTCATGATGCTAACAAGAATACAAATAGGAGTATGGCCACAATACTGGCAGCATCCTCTGGACATGTTGAGGCATGCCAGGTGATGATTTAAAGCTTTTCTTTTGTTCCTTATAGGTGCAGAGTTACTAGTTGTGTATTAATTTCTTAACATAATACTGTTCCCGTTCGCAACTATGCGAGTTTGATTTTATAACATTACACGTGAACTCGGTAACGTTGAACAATTTGGTTTCTGATAGAAGAAGAAATGACATGGTTTTCTTAATATAGGAGAAAGTTTCATGTGTTTTGTTTATAACAGACATAGAATGTTGAACATTTTTTCGTATCAAAACGTCAATTTTCTTAAGATTTTCACATCCAATACATTACGAGATAACATTATCAGTGAAATTTGTAGCATCATTTTATGCACTTTCTTTTCAGTTCTTATTGCAAATAAATATGGAATATGCAAAAGCAACTGATGTTTATGGCCGTACAGCTTTGCATCACGCAGCACAACAGGGTTATGCAAAAGTTGCATCCACGCTGCTCATTGCTGGCGCTGATCCTTCAGCATTAGATGTCTTTCACATAACTCCATTGATGGCAGCTGCAAGTTGCAGTGACCCCGCTCATGCACTGGAAATTATCGGTTAAAGTCGTTTCATTATTATTTTTTCAACGTGACAACAAACAATTTAATAGTACTAAAAGTTAACATAAATATATTTTTGGAAATTTCAAACAAATACGGAAAAATACTATGCAGGTTAATCAATAATTTTATGCAGATTAATCAGTAATCAATAAATTTACGCGATTAGTTCAGGGTTAACGCAGTTCTATCAGAGAAAGCGATTAATCAGGTTACCAGTCGGAAATTTTTTTTTAGGCTTGTTAATTGAACAGTCTGCATTGTTGGAGGCAATCGACATAGTTGGTAATACGGTTTTCCATCATGCATGCATGGCTAGTAATGAGATGGTAGCAGTTTATTTGCTGAATCATGTCAAACCGGTTCCTGCCAATGGACATGCGAAACACATTATCAATTTTCAAAATAATCAGAAGCAAACGTTAGTTTAGTCTTTATGTTTTGGAATAAGCAAAAGTGAGACTATTTGGTAGTTAATTTGGAGCTCTTCTTTTGAAGTATGCAGTTTTCACAGTTTCCAAAATTTCCAAATCTATTTTACAAAAATATATTTTAAAAAGTGCCGTTTGAATAACTTCATCTAATGGCTCATATATATTGTTATTCAGTTGCTTTCCTGGTTTTCAGTATTCTGCATTTGGCTTGTAAAGCGGGAATGATTACACTCATTCGTAATATATTAAGAATCTCATCTTATTCTTTATCATTAATGGTAAGTGATGAGATTTCAATGAGAAATTTTTTATAAAAATTTTGCTGAAATTTGAAAATTTTAATTCTGGGAAGTTGAGAGTATACTATTTCACTGACAGGATTCTTTTCCAATTTTCGATGTTGATAGTTATTTTCTAATATTACTAACCTTCAAGCTGATTCATAACGGTTAATTTGACATGGTTTGTTTCCTAGTTATTGAGGTGGCATTTAATTAAGCGTAACTAGATTTTATGGTTAATAAAAGAAACAGCTAAAGTTAATTTCGCGGAGTATTTATAATTTTTTTTAATTTTCTTTTTTTTCTTTGGAAAGATGCATGACTGGTGATGTGAGCGCAAAGCCGAGCTTCCTCAAGCATTTATCCTTGTAACTTAAAAATTTATTGATGGACAGTGTATAAGTTGAAGGGACTTGAATCATTCATTTTTAATCGGCATTGAATAATTTCGGATTTTAGCTCCGGAAATTTTCATTTCGAATTTTCGGGGTACATAATTTTGTTTCTTTACTGTTTTCTTTTCTTAGGATGATAAAGGACGCATACCATTAGTCGCACCAGTTGAAGATGAGGCTGTAATCGATTGCATGTTGTGCATGCTGGATACATTTGTTGGAGCCATGAATAAAGATGGGTTCTTAGGTAAATTATTTTTTATTATATATCATTTTTTTTAGCGTAAATGCTTTGCTATTCATGTTTGAATTGAATAATGATTCTAATAATAGAAGCGAAAAAAACTTACACGTCAAATTTGTAAGGATATAAGCCTGGCAAGTTTGTCAAGTTCGTAAGGTTTTTTGAGGTTTAAATTAGGTGAGCTTCGATTTCAATGTCATCCAGTATTGGTTTCAATCGTTTTTCGGTTTTATTCCGTTACTTTTATCTGATATTTCGGGTGAGCTCTTAATGAGCAATTTTTCAGTCGGGATGTCGTTCGATGTAAAACGGAACAAGTTGAAAAAAAAAACAGGAATTTAAGACTGTTAATTTATTTATCCATGAAAGGTCTCAATAAAGATAAAGTGCTGACTTCATAGTTTTTACTTTTATTTTTTAAACTGGACCCATTATTTTGAAAGTAAGCACATTGCTGAAAATCTCGGTTGCCAGTGCAGGGAAGATCTGACTTCTTGATCTCTACTGTAACTCGAACATGCAATTACAATTTCAGAACCTAAAAACATGTTTTATACTGTGTATTTCCCCGAAAATAGGGTTTAAAAGAGAATTAAGCACTGGCACGGTTTTTCATTATAAAATATAATTAATCTATAATTGTTTTTATTTATTTATTTATGAAAAATAAAATATTCTCTAAAAGTAACTCTTAGTGTATCTTTTGGAGTAATGAAAATTTTTTTAATTCAGGAATTAATGCATAATTTTCCTTAAATTTTAGCAGCAAGACAAACAGATGCACCTATTTATTTTCCATCATCCATAGAAGAAACCGAGGCTGAAGCAGAAGGCGATTTCTTTTGACGAATAACGCTTGTTTTGCAGTTTGTGTTTTCAATTTATGAATTTTATTTTCAATTTATGAATTTTATGTTGTATGCGGGTATGCCTCAATGTTTGAAACTTATTGATACGTTCTCATATATCTTTTCTTTTGTGAATTTCAAATGATTAACATGAAAATTTAATGTCTTCTTAATCGATCCAGCAATTTTGTCTGTTTCTCCATAGTTCCTTATTATTTTTGCCCAGTATTCTAAATGCACACCTGATTTAATCTGAAATATCATCTAACATAAGGAATAGAATAAAGCGAGGAAGGACGAGTCTTAAATTCTTTTATGTCTTTCTCTATCGAAACTTATTGGAATCTTTTTATGCGAAGATGTTTTAGTATTAATTTCTGAGAAGGTAGGAAATTTTAAGGTGGCAGTGGGATAAACTAAAAGAATTAAAAAACAATTAGTTTAGCAGATAACAAATATGCAAATAGCAATATACTTCTACTTCCTACTCCTACTCGACGAATGAAATTCAGTGGTAA